TAACAATATATAAAACAAAAATTTAAGTTAAGAAAAATATTTTAAATTATTAAATGTTTTTATTTTATTATTAATAACAGTATATGAAATGATTTTTTGTTTTATTATTAGTAATAATATACAAAATAAAAAATTAAGTCAAGAAAAATATTTTAAACTATTAAGTATTTTTTATTTTGTTATTAATAACAGTATACAAAGTACAGTTTAAACTAAAGACTAATTAATATTCTTTAATAAAAAAAATTTTGTAAAATTATTAATACATATTTATGTTTTATATAACATCTTTATTAGCAATAGTTTGCAAAAGAAAAACTTATGATCTTGAGTAATCTAAAAGTGTATATAATATAACATGAAAGTTTAATATTCAACTTTAACAAGTTCATGAATAAAGAAACCTTAAAGATTAATTAATAATAACTACTTTGCATATTGTAAAATTACATGCTAAAAAAAAAGCTAATCTTTCTGAATTTGAAAAAGATTTGAAAACTTAAATAAAAAAAGTTAATATTAATATAATGTAGTAATCTATATAATAGTTATTCAAAAAAACAAAAAATTTTACTTAACAATCTTAATTTATTACTGTGTATCCTTATATAAATTAATTTGATTTTTTTTATAAATGACTTAATGTATTTATATATCATTATAATTTTTCAAATAGATTTAAAACTAATATTACATATTTTTTTAAAGACCTAATTAAAAAACACCATTTTTGAGTAATATTGCACTTAAATAATATAAAAATAATTTCTTGCATGTAGTTTTTATTTTGTATTTTACAATCTTATTATATTCTTAATATATAGTATATTAATATGTACAACTAAAATTACTAATAAAGATATGAGCAAGGCCTCACCTTAACACCAAAAAAAAACAATATGAAAATAATTATTTATTAAGATTAATTAGTAATACATATAAGAACTACTAAATATAAAAAATTAAGTTTTATTATAATTTTGAGTTGTTTAACAGATAGTATAAAATTGTAACTTGTATTTTTAAATTAAAAAATATATATATAAACTATTTTTTTAAGGTATCTATATTTGTATAAATTAAAAAAATAGTACAATAAACAAAAAATAATTTGATAAACAAATAATATATAACTTACTCAAAATATATATAAACATGAATGTTTATTTTTAATATTAGATTCTTTTAGAAGTTATATTACTAATTTGATTAAAAAAATTTTAGTGAAAATATAACTGATATGTATTACAGTAATATCTAATAGTTTAATAAATAAACTTCAACTATTTAATATTATAATAAATTATTCTTTTAAAGCAAAATTTTGTTATTAGTATATTGAATAAATAACTAATGAAGTATATAAACTTATATCTTCTGAATGAATTAAATGATCATTTTATTCACTAATGATAATATAAATAAAATATATATAAAAAAATATTAATATAAATTTAATTAAAAACTTGTTTGATTATTGTAAAATTTCTAATAATCAAAATTATTTACTTTTTAATATAAATTAGAATATAAAAATATAAATGATTTTGAATTAATTGATCTTATTAAAACAATTAAATTTAAATCAAAACTAAAGATATTAATAATATCTATAATAAAACTATAGTTAAGAATAATTGAATATTAATTTTATAAATTTATTAGTTTTTTTATTTTTATTTATTTATTTTTTTTTTTGGTACTAAGATGATCTCTTGGGTTTTTAACTTTTATTAACATATTTTTAAGAATGTAGTTCTATAAAGAGCTATTACAGAAAGAGCATATAATTTAACACTTGTATAACTTTTTATATTACCTATTTAAAAAGTTTTTTAATGTTCTCTACCAATTGCTATACCTTATATCTTTCTTTATGATATATTTGAAATCCATATTTTTTATAAAAATTAAATAAAAATATATAAATATAAAATCTATTTTTAATATTAAAAGATACAAAATGTATTTTTTATAATAATAAATAAAATATATATTATTATAATACAAATAAGATATAGAATAAATAAATAATAAAGAGACATAGTAACATAGTAAAGTAATTATGTTGTTAACTTCTAAATAACAGATCTAGAGTTCAAATTCTAGTGTTGATAAAAATTTAAAAATTTTTTTATATTATAGTTAATTATCTTCTGCTATTAGTTGAGATAAAATATTTGTTATCTGTATCATACTAGTATAACTAGAAGCTTATATAGCATTTATAAAAAAACACAAACTAGTATCAAGCAGTATAAATCTGTGATAAGTCTTTGTAACTGTATAAATTACAGAAATCAAAACAACAGAATCCCACTTAGAAGATCTAAGTAGAGAGATAATCTGAACTTTTAATAGTACTACTATAAAAACTAGACTTATAAAATAAAAGACAAGTTAGTCTTTAAAAAAGAACCAATCAGACTGCTAAAACTCTAAAAAGAATAATAAAAAAAAGATTATATGTCAAAGAACATATAAACCAAAGATATAATTGTACTTATTTTTTTAGAATATTTGGATTAAAAAATTAGTAAAACTTAAATTAAATACCAAAGTAATAAGGATATATTATAAAATAAATATTAGAGTTGAAGTAAACTTTATAAAAGTATAGTAGTTTAATGATATACTCTAACTGCAAGTATTAGTCTTATTCATAGTATTATTAAGTCAGTTATAAGAATGAGATATGAAAGTTCTAAAAGGTTTAATACAAAGTCAAAAATTATTTATATAAGTAAACTGCTTTAAAGACTTAATGACTATGACATATTTTTACTAATATTAACTGAAATTATTAGTAGATATAGGTAGATAAATAAATACAGGAATTAGAATGTTTAAATAAAAAACTTATAAGCAGATTCAGATATGACAACTAGTGTAAAACTTTTAGACAGACTACTTAAATTAAATAATAACTAAAATTATATAAGTAACTAGTTGTATACTCTTTCTATGATTGTTTTCTATAATTGTAATGAAACTATTAACTAAATATATTATTAATAAAATTCTGGTTACAAGTATTTATCTTAATATTTTTTTTAAAAAAAATTAAATAAATAGCAAAGGTGTAATAATTTAGTGAAATGAATAAATTATTAATTCTCTAAGTAATAGATTGAGTATTCAAATTTTATCTATAATAAAAATTTAGATAATTAACTATATAATATTTGTATTACAGTAATTTTTTCTAATAATTGGATTAAGATATTTATAATAGTAATTATATTAACATAACTAATAAGGTATAAAGTATCTGTATAAGTATAACATTAGACAGAGAAATGCAAACCAGTATTAAATGATGCAAATTCTAGATAAGTCTTTATAAATATGTATATTTGTTAAAATTAGAAAACAAGAAGTCCGTTTAAGAAAGATATAGTATAAATTTTTGATAGTGTTAGTATAAAGACTAATTTTAGAAAACAGATATTAATATCAAAGTACTCAAACAGATAAGAAGCTTTAGTTTGAAATTCTGAAGATATCATCAAGCAGGTCATCAGAATTAATTAGAAAAAAATATCAAACCAATTTAATATATCAATAGACTGGTTATAATCCTACTAACCTATTTGGATTAGGAGTCTAAAGAACAGATAAGAATATACTAAAGTAATTTGAATATGTTATGAAATAAATATTAGAATTTAAGTAAATTTTACAAAAACACAATAAGTTAATAAGTAGTCTTGATCACAAGTATTGATTCTATTATAACAATATCAGGTCAACTATAAAAATGAGTACAAAAAAACTCTAAAAGATTTACTTTAAAGATAAAATAATCATAAGATTAAAATAATGATCTAGTATATTAATACAGATGCAGGTTTAAAGAGTTTAAAATAGAACACCTAAGCAAAAATGTTAAATATAATAATTGGTAAGAAACCTTTGAGCAAACTTTTTAAATAGATAATATAAAAAAATTACATATGTAACCAATTGTACACTCTTTTTGTAATAGTTTATAAAGTTATATTACCAAAAAAATCATTAATAAAAATCAAAAAACCAAAAAGATCATCTTAAATAAATAAATAGCAATATCTAAGTATTTTAATAGGTTCTTTTTCATAAATGGTAAAGAATATTACACATAAAAAGAGTACTTTAGTTAGTGCTATACAGTACATTACACTAAATCGGGATTAACAATTGGACAATTTTTTGTCGATCATCATGTGATTGCAAAATTTTGTTGGCGATCAGCCAATAAAAATGTTTACACGGATCAGCCCGAAGTTAAAAAATAAAAAACGGCAGTCAAACCTGTCTTGGTGCATTAATAAAAAAATGCCGGAAAGGCAATTTTACTTATATAAGGTGAGTCAATAGAAACGTACCATATTTTTTCTAAGTAATTTTTTTTAAAACTTTAAACAAAGATAACTCAACTTTATCAAATTTTTTTTAAAAATTTTTATTAAATTTGATTAAGTTATTTTTGTTTAAAGATTTAAAGATTCAAAAAAATTTCATTAAAAATGATATGGTGCGTTTTTATCATATGAGTGCGTGAGAGTGAAAACCTGGAAACCGATCATAGTAAATCATTAAATCGGTTTCCAGGTTTTCACTCTCACGCATTCATATACCTATCCTTACCCTAAATACTAAACTAATTATAATCAAACCTCGAAATCACGTGGGTACAAGGCACAATTTTTGAAAATACGTAAACAGTGTTGGCAGCAATAGATGAATAAAACAATAGAACAATAGAGTAATGAAAATTAGAATAGAATATAATTTTTATCAATAGAACAAGAAATTGACAACACTGATAAAGAATAATATATAAGTATTAACCACATTATTTTTATTTTTTGTTTGCAATTAACAATAAATCTAGTTTTTATACAGTTTATTCAATTACAATTGAATTATATATCATAGACTCAAGATAAATTGAAAATTTTGCTTTAAAAGTCCAAATTTATGAATAACTTATAAAAATTTTAATGTATAAAAAATTTTTAAAGTACATCGTTATATCTCCTCGGCCTTCTCCTTTGTCCCTGTCGAGAAGAATCCGGAATAGTTGGGGGCAACCTTGTAGCCTCTGGATTGTTTAGTTTGTTTTGTATTTGTTGTTCTCGTAAGGATGCCATTTGCTTATGATACTATAAAAAAATTTTAGCATTAAACAATAATGGGAAACATAGAGATCTCTATTAAATTTTCGAAAATAATTACCTCAATCTGATCAGTAACATATTTATAGGCTTCAAATGCTTGATTAACTAACAAACTTTCTGGAAATAATTCATCAAGGTTTTCTGTTTCAGAAATTATGGGTGGCCAAAAGTGTAGTGATGGTTCGCAAACATAAATATTAAGAGGGTCAGTCTCTTTTTGTTTTTCGCCTTGTAAAAATCTATAAATAAATCTTCTTAGAGCTGTAGCAAAAGCTTCAGCAGAGAATTTCATTATTTTTCCATCAACAATTGTTGCAGGTTGTTTGATTTCAAACTCTATAACATTGTCTATCTCGCCTCGTTGTTTAGGCGTAAGCTCTTCTTTGTATTTGTCATGAGTATATTCAATTGTTAAATTCGCTACTTGTCCCTCTATTAATTCATATAAGGAAATTAAGTGCTTAAGTCTCAGAGGTTTATTTAGCAAACTGCGAAATTCATGGTTTTCGTTAAGTCCAGAAAGTGTTGCCCATTGATTTACATATTCTTTTATAAAACTTTCACCATTGCCGCCGGGTGTCCTTTTAATAAAGCAAAGCAGAATTTCCAAGGATGAAAGAATTTCTGACGGATTATCAAATGATGTATCCATACTGTTTGGTTGGAAAGATAACATGTTTGCTGGAGATCCTGTCAATAATTCTGCTAGTTCAGTTGGAATAGGTTCTTGTGCAATTAGATTTTGTATATCTCCAAGAATACGAGTAGATACTTGAATTAGTTCCATATGATATGAAAAAGGTTGCATGTATAATGAAGTTTCGCCTACTGTATCTATATAAACCTTTTCAAATACAAGTTGCCGTGCAAGTTCAACTTCTATTTTTTGTAGATCATAAATAACGTCAAGACCACGTCCAACTCCTAAATTTCTTTGGCTGAACCTAAGAATTCCACTAAATTCTTCTTGATCATATTTAATAATATTATCAAAATGAGCTTGATTAAGTATTAATGAGCGAATGGAATATTGATTAGTTGAAGTTGGAGCAGAAGTTCCCTCTTCTGTGTCAAATGACGTTTGTTCTAAAAACCTAAGCGCTTTACAAGAGCCAGGGGGAATAGTCATAACATCTCGCAAGAAATTGTTTTGTAATCCAATCAAATATTCTAAAACAGCACAGAGGTAAATACTAGAATCTCTTTCTTCTATTAGTCCCATAATAATAGGCATATTACGACTCATTCCTGGTTTTTCATTCAATTCATGACATTGGTATCTATCAACTTTATCGATAACATTATTCCAAGATTTCTCAAAATCTTTAAACATTTTATTTAAATCCGCTGTATCTGCTTCCCTATCAATAAATTCGTCAAAGGTCATCTTTTCAGCATCTTTTCTACTAATTCGATAGGAAAGACGCGAAGACAAAGTTTGTACGAATTGTACAATTGGCC